CGGGAAGAGCATAATGATGGTGCCAGCTTGGGCCAGTGAAGCAACGTCCTCCACAACTAGACTGAAGAACAAAAGAACAGCAACTTGTCTGTTCCCCTTTCCCCAATTCCCCAGCACTGTTCCCATCCCTCAATTCCCCAATAAAAATCTTTTTTAAAAAACCCCAAAAGCTGATTCTTTGTGAAGATCAATAAAATTGTTATAACTTTTAGCCAGGCTGATCAGGGAAAAAAGAGAGAAGATACAAATTACTAATATCAGGAATAAGAGAGGTACCATCACTACAGATTCTACAGATATTAAAGGACAATAACATAATACTATGACCAACTTTATTACAATAAGTTTGACAACTCAGGTGAATTGGACAAATTCCCTGAAGAACACAAACTACCAAAGTAACCTGAACAGCCCTCTATTTATTATGGAAATTAATTTATAATCTTTCCCACAATACACTAAACAACCACTAACTGGTGAATTTTATGGTAGTGAGGTCTATCTCAATAAAACTGTTATTTTTAGAAAAGTAATAAATACACAAAACTGAAAACAAACAAAAAAATCTTCCCACAAAGAAAACTCCAAGCTCAGAAGGCTTCACTGGTGAATTCCACCATATATTTAAGGATGAAATAATATCAGTTCTATACAAACTCTTCCTGAAAAGTGAAGAGGAAAACTTCCAAATCTGTGAGGCAGCATTACCTTGATACCAAAGTCAGACAATAACAAGAAAATGAGTCTCTCTCATGCACACAGATAAAACTTCTAAACAATATTTTGGCAATTTGAAAATCAATCAACACAGTTCACTATATTAACACAGTCACTAAATTAAAAAGAAAACTACATTATCATCCCAATATACTCAGCAAAAGCATGGCAAAATCCCCACTCTTTTCCTGATAAGACTCTACGCAAACCAGAAACAGAGGGGAACTTTCTCAGTCTGCAGCTACATCGTACTTACTAATGGAAGACTCAGTGCTCTCTGTCCCTATAATCAAAGACAAGACAAAGATGTCCCCTCTCATCACCTCTAGTCAACATCATACTGGCCACAGCAAATGTACAAGAAAAAGAAATAAAAGGAATTCAGACTGGAAAAGAAGTAAACTTTTTTCATTCACAAATCAGAATCATTTATGTAGAAAAATCTAATGGCATCTACAAAAAAAGGTACTAACTGCAGTGAATTTTAGCACAGCACAGCTGCAGGATATAAGATATACAAAATCAACTGTATTTCTACATACTAGAAATGAACCTATATTGAAATTTTTTAAAAGACCATTTATAATAATAGCATCCAAAAACATGACTCAGAAATAAATCTGACAAATGATGTGAAAGACCTATATATATACTAAAAACTACAAAACTCTGCTGAAAGAAATTAGAGAAGACCTAGGTAAATAGAAAGATAAAACTTGTTCATGGTTCAAAAGACTCATTATCATTCACTTATCAATTCTTCCCCCAAATGATCTATAAATTCAACTCAATTTCAGTTCACATCCTATCAGGATTTTTGTAGAAACTGATAAGTTGATTCTAAAATTAATATGGGAATACAAAGGACCAAGGACAACCAACACAACTTTGAGAAAGAATAAATTTGGATTAACACTACCTCATTTTAAGATTTATTATAAAGCTACAGTCATCACAACAGTGTGGTCCTGGCGTAAAAACAGACAAATAGATCAATGAACAGAATAGAGTCCAGAAAGAGACTCACATGTATATGTACAGATAACTAATTTTTGACAAAAATGCAAAGGTCATCCAGTAGAGAAAGGGCAGTCTTTTTAACAAATGAGCTAGAACCACTGGATATCCATATGCAAAAAAGGTGAATTTCAATCCATACCTTGCCTCATACTCAAAATTGACTGAAAATGGATCACAAACCTGAATAAAACCTAAAATTACAGAACTTATAAGAAAAAAAAAAAACGAACAACACAATTTAAAAACTGGACAAAAGCTTCAAACAGGCACTGCATGAACAAAGGTAATAGATTTCAAGTAAGCACGTGAAAATATGTTCAACATTATTAATAATTAGGGAAATCCAAATTATAATCACCACACACTTATTAGAATGGCTAAATGGCTAAAATGAAGAAAACTAACCATACCAAGTGTTGGTATGGATGAGGACAAACTGGAACTGAAATCATATCTCATACACTGCTGTGGTCATGTAAAAACCACTTTGGAAAACAATTTAACCATTTCTTAAAAAGTTCAACATACCCCTACCATATGATCCAGCATACTACTACAGGTATTCACCCAAGACAAAGGAAAACGTATGTCCATACATACTTATACACAAAAGTCCACAGCAGCCTTATCTGTAATAAACAGGAAACAACTCAATTTCCATCAATAGGTGAACAGATGAATAAATCATGTTATACATATATAACAGAAAACCACTTAGCAATAAAAAAGTAATAAACTACTAAACTACACAACAGCATGGATGAATCTTAAAATAACGATGCTGAGTAAAAGAGCCAGACCCCTCCAAAAAAAGAAATGCACACTAAAGTGACAGAAAGCTGATCAGTGGTTATCTAGAGAGAATAGAGGGGCACAAAGAAACTTTTGGGGGTGACAGACATGTTCTCTATCTTGATTGTGGTGATGGTTCCACATACATATACTCATGTCAAATTTTTTCAAATTGTACACTTTTAAAAAATGCCTGGAAGGGCACAATGTTCCCCAATAAAAAAATAAAATAAATAAAGAAAGAAAGAAAGAAAATAAAATGGCTGAAGACAATGAATAGCCGTTAACAATTTTTAAAACAGAAGGATACAATTAAATCTGTGTTTTAGAAAAAAGGTAACTTGGATGGCAATCTGGAAGACAGAAGGGAAGTGAAAGAGAATAAAACAAGGATTTTAATCAGTTATCTATTTCCAAAGTCCAAGTAATAAAATGAGAAATTATGTAGGTTAACCTCTTTCGCCTCTTTTCTTACCTGTAAGTTAAGACTACTAACTATATCACAAGGTTATTGCAAAGAGCAAATGGCATAACATATATGAAAATGCTTTCGAGCTATAGAGTACAATATCAATGTTAAATCATTATTATTGCAATTATTTACATGTAATTCCTTCTTGTCCCTTTCTTCTACTTTATTTGTGGTACATCAGTGGTCTCTAACTCCTACCCTGCCATCAAATATAAGGCCAATGTTCTCCTTAGGTAAATGAGTATCAGAACTTTCCTGGGCTACAAGCATTCTAACATTCACGAGAACTCTGTATTTAGCCCAAATCTAAAACGGTTGAGATCATCTACCCTCACAGACAAAAGTGTAGCATTTATAGCTCCTCGGCCCTCATTCTCTGTATCATATATGGGAGTGGTTACAGACATTAGTCTTTCCCCAGAGACTTAAGGACCAATCCTTTAAAAAAAAAAAAATCCATTCATCACCTCTTTACCCAACAGTCTTTTCAGTTTCATTGCCAACCCCATACCTCATCCATTGACATATCCCATACTCTGCAAATTTCATTCTCCATTTCTTCATCAAGCTCCATCTGCTGCTCCTCATCATCATCTGAGCTGGATTTGGTGTTTTCAGGGCTAACAATCTTCAGATACACAAAGGAAGAAAAGTGATGAATAAAAGCTGTCCACAGTACTCTTCAAGTAATATCCCACAATCATTTAGAAGTCACAAAGATAATAGCATCAAAGTATCTTCTCTTGTAAAAACTTTTCAAAAATTAGTATCTTAAGTAGATCTATTCATTCAACATTCATGGAGTAAATACTGCTGCTAGGCATCGGGGTAGAAATACAAAAATAAGTAAGATTTAATCCCTTGATTTCAAGTAGTTTAGGATCGACTGGGGAAAAGACATGTAAACATAATCACAACAGAAAACAGTAAGTGATTCAACTGAATTGTGGACACAGAGTTGTGAGAGCAGAAATGATGGACCAATGACCTATGCCTGGGAGAAGTTAGGGAAAACTTCTCTTAGGTGATATGTAAGCTAAACCTCTGAGGAAGAAGGGGAGTTTGTCATATGAAGAAGGGGAGAAGAGCATATAGAGGAAAGTACGGGAGCTCAGAGTTAAGAAAGAGCCTTAGCATGTTTGGGGAGCAGTTTAGTGTCATGGGCAAATGAGGTTGGAAAGTTCGCAAAGAGCCCTGGATTCCAAGCTAAGAAATATGCATTTTTCTCCCGTAGGCAAAGGGAACTAGGAGAAGTTTCTACAGTCAGCTTTATTAATCATTATTATTATTATTATTATATTATTATTAGGAAGATTATTCTGGCAGCTGTGCAGAAGATGGACTGGAGAGGACAGAGGCTGGAAGTAGGGAATCAGTTAGGGAAACGTTGGGACATAAAGTTCACATTTACTGAGAGCCTCCTATAAGCCAAACGCCATGGTAAGCACTCTATGGCCATTATCTTATTTAACACAATATCCCTATACATACAAATGTTATCATTCCACCGTACAGAAACTGAGAAAGAAATCGAGGCTCTGAGAGATAAGGTGCCTTGTCCAAAGTCACGTTGCTAGAAAGTAATGAAGGTGCGCTTTTGATATCAGAGCTGTTGTAACTCCAAAATCATCATTTATTCTACTACAACAAAAATCCACGAAATAGATAAACTAGGACCTAGGCTTCGGGAACGACTATGGGAATGGGGTGCAAAAACCTGAGCAATGTATTTATTTACATGGTCATGTTTTTTTTGGAAAATTTGCAAAAGTAAAATATTTTAACCGCAAGCATCCCGGCATCCCTGCCATTATACTACTTTTTGTGTTAGGGGGCACCGGGAGCGGCTCTCGGCAGTTTGGGGTCCGCGGAGGCGGCCAGCATGCAAGGGAACCTCTGCAGAGTCGTCGTGGAGAAGGCGGCTCCCGGGGTAGCAGGGGGCTGCCGGAGGCGGGGCTGGAGGGTCTGGGGGAAAGGTAGAGGGAGCCCACGCGATGTGCGAGTTTCCACACCTGGATGAGCCCGCTGAGGACGCCGAAGAGCCAATGCTTGCTGTAGACCGTGCTCCCTATGCAGTCTCCTCCAGCCACCTCCTCCTCCTGGTCCTCATTCCAACTCGGCGGCGGCGGCGGCGAGGGGTTGCGATCCATCACTTACAGCCACCAACGCGCTGGAGCCGCGCCGGAAGCCGCGGAAAAGGCGAGAGGCCAGAGGGGCTGGTGCGCCCAGTGCGGCTCCCGCCACAGCGCCCTCTGCTGCCCGGAGCCCTGCCGGCCTTAGTGCCCGCCCAATATACCCGTCCTGCAGATGACTTGATCTCCCCACCCGACTCTACCCAGGACCCAAGTACAGTCATATTCATAATGGTTGTTTGTCACCCTCGCTGGACCAGATATTCCATCTACCCACATGCTCTGTGCTGGGCTTCAGGACATATCCATTTTGCCATATGACCTCTACTCCTGCACCTGTAAGTCACCACAGTAGGCAGCAGGAGCACTGGTAGAGGCCATTCCTATTCCAGGATGGTGATTAATAACTGAATTATACTTGGAAGCAACTGAAAAACCACATAAATATGTCCCAGTACATGAAAACCAGTTGTATTCCCCAATCATTTAGATCCCTAAAATGTCTGTGACTACCCCAGTGCCACTCAACACAGGAGACATGTGATGGGATGTTGGAACGAATGGAGTCAGGGAAATTAACTTCTTGAAGTTAAAATATTTTACTTATGTATATTTTACAAAGATATTTGACCATGTGCACACTTTTTTAGAGTCCCTCCCAGGGCCTTGGAATGGTCACATGTAAACAAGAAGCCCTTGGAGCCTAAGCTTTGTCAGCTTCACAGTAAATCTGACTCTGCTGACATGCATATCTGCTGAGACATTACTAAAGGGGGCGACTAGTTAGCTCAGGTGGTTAGAGCACAGGTTCATAACACCAAGGTTGCTGGTTCACACATGGGCCAGGGAGCTGTGCCCTCCACAACTAGATTTAAGACAACTGCTTGACTTGGAGCTGATGGGTCCTGGAAAAACACACTGATCCCCAATAAAATTTCTAAAAACACCCAAATACATTACTAAAGTCATGTAAGATACAGGATAAATCTTTTTTTTTTTTTTTTAGCTGAGCCATCCTGCCACCTGTTGGCAGCTCAGCGGCTGCTCAGCTCGGGCTGGACTCGAACCGCTGTTGCTCAGAGCTCAATCTCTTGAGCGAGCTCTTAACCAACTGAGCCACTCGGCCGGCCCTCAGGATAAATCTTTCTTTTCAGCACTGTCCTGTCCGATAAATTGTAAGATGTATGATCTCTGACACATCCACTATATGCACCCCCATCATTGTGCCAGCCAAAAATATCTCCTGAGATACCCAAAAGCTGGTGTGGGAATGTGGCTGGGTGCAACGCTGTCTTTGTGGTGAACTAAGGTCTAGATTTCTCTGTGTCCCCAGGACTAACAAGCTTGGGGAGGAATTATCTTCATGCCATTTTCTAAGGAGATGGCTACTTATGTCTTCCTGCAAATCCCCTCACTCAATGATGCAATCTCCTCCAAATTGCTGCTTGCTTTTTCCTTAACCCTTGTATACCTCTGCGCCCCATATAGATTTACCCCACATGGACTTGTTGTGTGGATCACACAACTGGGGTGGTACATGGAATATATTCATTGAAAAAATGACTAGGTGAACTAATATATGTAAAAGTGTTTTATAAGCTCTAAACTTCAATACAAAAGTGAGTTATAGCAAATGGTTAAGAATGGTGGCTCTAGCATCGAATTAGCAATGTCACTTGGATATGTATTTTAACTGTGTGTGCCCCAAGTTTCCTCAACCATAAAATAAGGAAAATTAAAATGTGATGATCTCATGGGATGACACAAGAATACACTGAGGGCACTATCTGGCCCCTAGTTAACTTGCTGAATGAAGGCTAACTGTCATTATCATAACCATCTTATTATTAACAAGTATTAGAAGAGCTTAAAAGCCAACCAGCAGGAGGACTGACATATAAACCACTAACTCTGACAAGAATGGATACATATTTTCAAGAAGGCATGAACAAAGTGCAATGGAGACATTCATTGTTAAGGTTAAGTTTAGGGGCTGACAGATATGGTACATTGAGACCTGGACACAGAAAGGCCTGGAGAGAAGCAGGTCTGACGCGGAGAAGGGTTGGTGAGGGCTGTTTGCCCTGGATGATGCTGAGATTGTGTCCCTTACACCCAAACACACAGGCACAGGTGAGGCTTTCACGTGCATGTCCGTCCATCACCCTTTGCCACCAAATGGGACGTCCTTATGCCAAAGAATAACACACAGTTTTCAATATTCAACCTCTTAAGCATTTATTAGACAACTACTATGTGCCCTCCAAAAACATCTAGGGATATAGAACTCAAGGACTCTGGGCTCGCAGCCCCGTCGCCTGACAGCAGAGTGAGGAGGGAGCTCAGTACTTGGGGGGCAGGCCTTTAGGTCTGAAGTGATTGGGGTCTTTGCCACTCCGGCCCCATTCATTGGCAAACTGGTCGGCCTTCGAGTCCTCCTCTCCGCGGCTGCTGTTTCCAGGTTTCCAACGGTCAACCCTCTCTCTGACATCGCTGGAATGGAGAAAGGCAGGGAGGAGATGCCTCAGAGGCTGATGAGCAACAGCCCATCCTTCCAACTCTCTCCTTTCCAAAGGATGAATGACTGAGAGGAGCCCTGGAAAGTGGGGCTAGAACACTGACCCTGCCTGGGCACAGCCCACTCAGCCCCGCCTGATACCCCCTCATGCTGGGTGGACAGCTCACATAGGACACAGTGGGAACCACCCATCCCACTAGCCTTGCTCTGGCTCTACCAGCCTCTCAGACCCCACACTGGGCACAGAGGGGCAGCGTGGACAGGAGGAGGCGAGGCCACAGTCCACACAGGAAACTTCTCCAGTGTTGGCCCCTCCTGGCTCTTCAAGGCAGCGAGGCTGTGCTCACTCATCCCTGCATCCTCAGGAGCCCCTCTTACCTGATCACTTTAGCAATCCAGGCACCCCCAGGTCCCCTCTGTGCAGCGTCACGGTTCGCCCGGGAGTGGAAGTATTTGTCTGCATTTTTGTAATTGGCTTCTCTCATGTCAGAGTAGCCTCTCCACATGTCTTTAGTCCCTGAAAGGGAAAGAAAATGTCAGATGAAGGTAATCACATCTTGGTAAAAGAGAGGAATAAAAATTTTTCTTCTACTGATTCTATGATTTCAGCCTTTGACTACGACCTTGGAGATTATACTGGTTTGAAAAGAATATTCTTGTACTTTTCACTGCTTGGGTTAACATTATGACAATCAGACTTGGTACAAGATTTATTGTTTGACCTCATTCTAAGTTCTGTGGCTACTTTGTCTCTGGCTGTGTGACATGTGGAAAGAAGAGGAGGATGGTCTTGAGGGGATATTTGTACAATGGACCTCCACCTGGAAAGATGGAGGGGAACCCCCTGAGTGAGGCATGATAACAGAGGTGATCCTGAGGGAGGTGCAGACACCGGACGCTTCCAACCTAGTCAGTGGGAGACTTTCATCTCCATGGGGAGAGTGCGGGCAACTCATCCTGAGTACGTCCTAATGTCCGGGCACATTTGGTACCTGGGCAACTGTCAGAGTTCAATCAGCAGGTGATAAAGGTGACTTCCCTAAGAGAGTTTTAAGGAAATGGGGTAATCAATTCACACAAGGGCACAAGGGCAACTGACCACCCGCTCTAAAGTTCAGTGTCCTCTCAGTAAAATGGGGAGTATTGCCCTGGTTATGTAGAAGAACTGAGAAAATACTGTATAATGTAGAGAACATTGTAAGTAATCAATATGCCATCACTTTACTGCTCTAGTTTTTAGTAAGAGGGAGTGCTAAAGGAAGAAAAAGAATGAAGTTAGATGAGGAGCAGGGAGTCATGGACAGAAGGAATTTGATCAAGCTAGAATTAAATGTCAAAAAAAATTTTTAATAACTTATTAGGAAAAGAGAAAAATCTAATGTAGAGTTATAATCATGATTTATATAATTACCCCATGAGATAACTGATCTTCATTTTATATATGTTATTTTTGGCATTAGAAGATAGTTTTGTAGAGAGTTATGACATTCTTGCTATACTTATTCACACTGATTACTGATTTAAATAGATCCTTGTAGTCCAAACTTGCATAATAAGTATTTCCAAAATGCCTGGCATATTTTATCACCTAGGGGCAACAACCAGAGATAGTGGTTCTCAACCACTAGCATGCACAAAAATCAACTGGGTGCTTGATAAAGGCCAGATTTTAGGCTCAGCCTTAGAAATTGTAATCCAGTGGGCCCAGCTACCTGCACTTCACAAAGCACCCCAGACCAAGATGATTCTCACACAAGTGGTTCTAGAACAACCCTTTGACTATCACTACACCTCAGAGGCTGTTTGTACCCACGGCTGGCTACTTGCTAATCCCCACCCTTTCTCCAAAGGTAACCCCCATCCTAAACTTTGTGCTTATCATCCTCTTGCTTTAAAAAAATTTTTTGTCACACGTGTGTAGCCACAAACAACATACTGTTTAGACTATCACCTGTTCTTGAACTTTCTGAAAAAAATGTATATTGTATGGATTCACGATTGGTCAGTTACTTATTTTGATCAAAATGTCTTTAGATACGGGCATGTTGATGTCTGTTGTAGTTGTTTTGTCATTTTTAGTGCTGAATAGTATTCCAAAACATGACTATCTCACAACTTACTTCAATATTTGGGTTGCTTCTTCTTTGCTATTACAAACAGTGCTGCTTTTAATGACCCCGTACACATGTCCTGGTACAAGAGTTCCTACAGGTACAGACCCAGGCATGGAACTGAATCTGATCGTGGTGAGTTTGGTTGATATGCCGAATTGTTTTTCCAAAATGGTTGTACTAGTTTATGTTCCCACAAGCAATGGATGAGTGATCCCTTGCTCCACATTTTGAGCCATACTCCAGACTTTTCAATAAAGAAATATGATAAACATTTCAACGATCAAGTGTATAATTCTAGCTAACTGTCAAATTTGTGGAGTTTTTGGGCCAACCGAGTGGCTCAGTTGGTTAAGAGTTGGCTTAAGAGCGTGAGCTCTGAGCAACAGGGCCGCCGGTTTGATTCTCACATGGGCCAGTGACGCTGTGCCCGAGCTGAGCTGTTGCTGAGCTGCCAACAGGTGGCAGGATGGCTCAGCTGGTGTAACAACAAGATTGCCTGTTTGATGGTGGGCTACGCCCATCCACAACTAAAACTAAGCTCGGCAACTTGAGCTGAGCTGCCGCCTGGATGACTCAGTGGATAGAGTGTGCACTCTTAACAACAAAGCTGCTGGCTCGATTCCCGCATGGGATGGTGGCTACACTCACCCACAACTAAGATTGAACACAGCACCTTGAGCTTAGAGGCCACCAGCTGCCGACGGGAAACCAGATGGCAACTGGAACCCTCCACAACGAAGATTGAAGAACAATGTGGCTGGTTCCCTTTCCCAATTCCCCAATAAAATCTTTAAAAAAAAAAAAATTGTGGATATTTTTTTCAATCTGTACCACTTGGTGTGTTATGAAATCTTTATAAACAATAAACTACGGGCAACTCTTCTATTTAATGAGTGCCTGCTATGTGTTACATAATATACTAAGTGCTTTTCCATTTGCTGTTTAAGTGAGAAAACAAACCCAGGGCATAGTTACTGTTATTTCTATTTTGCACAACTTATAACTGAAGCTCAGAAAAACGACAATTCTTTTCCCCAAAGTCATAAAACTAGTTAATGCTGGAGCTGGCGTTGAGACCGAGGTCTGATTATATCTACAGCTGTACACACTTTTTCAGCCCTGTTGGCGTGGGAGAGGGAAAATTAGAACAAAGCAAAGAAGCCAGTTGACTGGCAAGGCTTAGCTTCAGATGTCACAGCTATAGTAATAATTAATCTGATCATCACTGTTTCAGAAATGAAACACAAAGGCCAGATGGTTCTGTAGGGC